GCGTGAGCCACCAGCGCCCGGCTCTTCCTTATTCTTTAGGCCACAGATTTGATATTATTCTGTCCCAGGAAACTTTAGGTATAATAAATATATTTATTTGCCTAGATTGTGGTGGTTAGTATTGCTGTAAGGTGAATCATCTCAGAAGCCACATTTTGAAATATAGAATATTGGAGTCTTTATTATATAGTTAACAGGCTGCAGGCCCCTCATTATTACAAAGGCCTGCAGCATGCAAATACACATAACACAGCTAGGAAACATGCTAAAGAGGAAAGAAATAACAAAAACAATACCAACAATCCAATTCAGCTCCGATGGAGAGCTGAATGGGGACTCCATGATGATTGGAGACAAGCCAGGAGGCAGGACACAGGACACAATCACAGAGACACAAATGGCATGGCTTAATGGTGGCTAGGCTGGTCTGGGTCTAAATAGTCGCCTGCAGTGGGCAGATCCACAGGAATTTACCAGTCTCTGGCACTGGATTGACAAATTCAATAACCTATCAGCCACATGCCCGCCCCTGCCTCCAAGGATCTGGGCACACCCATCACCTAGGAGGCAGGTGATGGGCAGGGAGTTTTCTTCCCCCAGCATGAAGACACGATGCCAGACCCTACAATCCACCATGTGGCCAATATGGCACAGGCCAGACCTGACCTCCTTACTTCAGTATTAAACTCAATAAGTGAGATAGAGTATTTGCAAGTAGTTATTTTTCCTATGCTAATTATTCCTCCATAGAGTTGCAGGAAATACATATGCTGAGTTTGCAAACTAAATATAATGACATACAGAGTGGGTTCTATATATATGCTCAAATGCTCAGAGGGTACAGCATGTGCCTAGCAATCATAAAGACCTGAGTTCAAGGCTCAATACTGCTAAAAAATAAAGTAAAAAAATAGCAAAAAAAATAGCCATTGAAAGTCCTTCCATGATGATTCTAAAAGGAATTACTGATGATCATGAACCTGCTCATATACCAACAGGCTAAAGCCATTCCCTCTGCCCTGATGGCCTGGTTATTTCTCATTAGATCCCATTTCCTAACACTGTTGCAATGGAGACTGAATTTCCAATACAGCCTTTGGAGGACCACTTCAGATCACAACCCCTTTCTCAAATCACTACACAGATGCATGTGTCCACTCAGAATACTCTTAGGAGGTGAAAGGTTATATGAGCATGCATGCCTTGCCATCAGAGTTTATGTACAAGATAAAAGCATTGAAACTCTCTGATTCTGAGCTAGTTAATAATAAATAATCCTATGCAAAAAGGATGCTTATCATTACATTTCGACATTAACTCCTAGAAGTCTGTTGTAATACATGTATAGAAGATGAGAAGACCTGATTTTAGTTTTTGTTCTGTGGCTGAGCTGGTTGGTTCAACTTCCTTTTTGTTGTTGGTCATGGGGCTTGAACTCTGTGCCTGGGTGCTGTCCCTGAGCTCTTCAGCTCGAGGCTAGCACTCTACCACTTGAGCCACAGTGCCACTTCCAGTTTTCTGAGTGGCTTATTGGAGATAAGAGTCTCATGGACTTTTGTGCCTGGGCTGGCTTTGAATGTGATCCCAGTCTCTTGAGTAGCTAGGATTATAGGCATGAGCCACTGGCACCTGGTTTGTGTCATCTTAAGAAAATTGTCATCCACTTTGATTTGGGAAGAAACCATATTTGAGTAGTACATTTATGTCAATAACAATTTTTTTTTCCTTTAGGAATCTGACTTTCTTTGTCTTCATGGGGAGAGCTATATATTTGGAAGTGAAGATAGTGAGTTAAGCAGTGGCAATGGTGAAAACATGTACTCATATGAAGAAGATGAAGACCAAAAATATAGTATACTTGCAAATGATTTCCTAAGACAATCTGGATTTTATGAAATGTCTGCAAGTACTGTACTTCCAGACCAATTTTTAGCATCAGAGGCTCCTGAAACAATGAGAAGTACTAGTGACCCAAAAGATTGGGAAGAAGTAGAAGCTGGAAGCATGGGACAGGACCAGATTCCAGAAGTTGATGATGTGTTGACATCCCCAACTCTGCCTGAAGGACAAGGATGGTTTGGACTGGGAGAAGAACAAACTGAAGACAAGACTGTTGAATCTGTTACTGAATCTGTACAAGAAAACTCATTTCGAAGTAGAAAATTAGCGGTGGAAGATGAAAACAATCCGGAGGAGTCCCAAACAGAGCATGAGCCAGAACCTGAATCAGAATTTGATTCAGAGCCACCAGAACTTGTTTCAGTAACAGAGAAAGAATCTGAACAAGCTTTAGAGCTAGAGCACACTCGCAAATCTCAAGCCACGAGCTGGTTTGGTGGTGGATTTACAAGTTACTTAGGTTTTGGAGAGGAGAGCACAGAGCTTGAGTTATTGTCCAAAGAAAGCCACCCACTACTACAAGATATTCCCGATGCTAAATTACCCGATGAAGATGCCACAGTTCCATGTACAGAAATAACAACAGAAAAAGAGGACACAATTATTAATGACAGCTCCATCCAAGAGTCAAGTTGGTTTGATTTTGGTTTTGGCATGCTAGGCTTTGCAGATGCTGACGAGGAAAAAATAGTATCAGAGGATGGAAAAAATAGCAATAGTGGGCTAGATAAACACAAACATCCCCCAGCCAGTGAATTTGAGCCTGATAAGGAACAGGAAATAAATACAATAAAAATGATGGAAGCAGATCAACTAGACAAGAAAAGAGTCGTAGAGGAAACAGATGATTCTGATACCACACTATATTTGAAAAAAATATTGTACAATTTTGATAACCCTTGGAGCTTCCAGAACACTCCAGAGGAAAAGGAATTGCCATCTTCTAATCAGATACTGGATGAAAATAATAAAGGTGGAAATGATGGAATGGAATACTCTTCAATTGAAAATCAGTCCACAGACGACGTGGAAGATCTTATAATGCTGAAAAGCAGTCACAGCCAATCAGGTTGGTATGAAAAGATTTAGAATTTATTTGTTGATATAATTTAAAAATTTAAAAATTGTTAATATAAAGGTTATATAGAGGTAAAGAATACATTTCTTTTTGGACAATAGCACTCTGTCCCTCTCTCTCTCCCAGTATTTTCTTCCCATCCCACCCACACATTGTATAGTTCATTTTCAACAGAAATAAATTTTAAATTTTAAATTAAATTAATCTCCCTTTCTCTCTCTCTCTCTCTCCCCCCCTCTCTGTATGGGGTCCTGAGGCTTGAGGCTCAGGACCTGGGTGCTGTTCCTGAGCTTTTTTTTCTTTCCAGGCTAGAGCCTTATCACTTGAGTAACCGCTCTACTTCTACCTTTTTGGTAGTTATTGGAGATGAGAATCTTATAGACTTTCCTATTTAGGCTTGTTTTGAACTGCAGTCCTCAGATTTCAAACTCTTGAGCCACCAGTAGCCAGTTTTAAATTCCAATATTATAAAATAAAATCTAAAGGACAGAATGATTGGAGATAGTCTTTTAAGAAGATCTTAAGGGGACTGGGAATGTAGTTCAGTGGTAGAGTGCTTGGCTTGCACGCATGAAGCCCTGGGTTTGTTTCCTCAGCACCATACAAACAGAAAAAGCCGCAAGTGGCACTATGGCTCAAGTGATAGAGTGCTAGACTTGAGCTGAAGAGCACAGAGAGAGCAGCCAGGCCCAGAGTTCAAGCCCCAACCACCACCACCACCACCACCACCAAAAAAGAAAGTGAACATCAGAGGACACCTCAACTTCTAAATGTCTAGGAAATTTAGCAACTTTGGATTCAAAACATGTGGATCAGCCATGCACAGTGGTGTACACCTGGAATCCCAGCAGTTGGGAAGCTAAGGCAGGAAGATCACGAGTTCTTAGACAGGTTGGATTACAAAGCAAGACTCTTAACTAAAACGCAAACAACTTAGGCATTGGAGGCTCAGCCCATAATCCTAGCCACTCAGGAGGCTGAGTGGAGCCAGCTCAAGCAAGAAAGTCAGTGAAATGCTTATCTCCAATCAACCATCAAAAAGTCAGAAGTGGAACTGTGGCTCAAGTAGTAGAGGGTCAGGTACCTTAAGCAAACAAGCTAAAGGACCAATGTTCAAGTTCC